TAGGTTTAGGGTTAGGTTTAGGGTTAGGTTAAGGGTTAGGTTTAGTGTTAGGTTTAGGATTAGGTTTAGGAGGGTTAGGTTTAGGTTTAGGGTTAATTTTAGGTTTAGCGTTTACAGCGTGCTTTTTTCTCCGCACTGTTGTCGCGCTGTGATGCCATCAGCTACGCGGTTTCGTCAAGCGCCCTTTAGTCGAACACGGTTTTGTGGTGGAACCGCTCCAAATAGCTTAAATTAGACCTCAGGACCTGGGGAAATCCCAGCCCTAGGCCACATCAGCAAATGCTCTGAACAAATGTTCAGAGAAGGGTGCCAGATCATATCCATAGGAAAAATATCCACAGGAGAGGAAAAGTACCACTGTTAAACAGGAATAGCAAACAACGACTTTAAGATACCTCAAGAATGAATTAAGGATAGACTATTGCTAAGACAATATCATGAGGATAGACAGGAAAAAAGTATTTGTGGAACAAAGGAGAAATTATGGAGAAATTATGAATAGATAGAATTTGGCATTTTCAGATAGCTTCAGTGACCATAGGAGATTGTTTTAATGGGCATCAGAATGTCATTTTCACTATATTTTTACCTTAACTGAAAGTAAATTTAAAATTAAAAATACCTGCCATAAATACTTAAACCAGAAAACTATATTCCTAGTCTATTATAAAAAATACCTTATTACCTATTAAAAGGGCTATGTGTCTTTAAACTGATCATATTTACACTTACTAATCAAAGTATATTCCATTTGGCCAAAGGTTATTCTTTTTCTCAACTAAATTTTACATTGTTGTAGAATTTCTTTCCTGCTCTGTACTCTGATATGTCTTGATGCTGATTGCTTGCTGGAAAAAAAATAACTCTTTTATCTGTTGATTATCTGTTGATCTGTTATTATTTATCTTTGTTCCCAATGTAACTATAATATATCATCAGAGAAATGTGTAATGTTTCCAGGTTTTCTGGATTACAACTGTTAGTATTCCTACTACATAGTTCTGACAATACCATCAAGGGCTTTCCACTCTGTGATGTAGGAAGAGTCACATATGTCGTCCTTGTGTCAGACTGGTTATACAAATCCCATATTCAAATTATTGCACATCAATAAAAGGATACATGGAAATATGATCAAGTGTTCCGTTGTAAAAGGGCATAAACTATCAAGGTTTCCAAGTACTACTCGAATGGCATCCTGAAAGATTTAAAGAGAGATATGAAACATTGTTAGTGCTTGTAAATTTATGATAATTAAACAGGGACGTGTCTAGATAGAAAGTTCCTACAAAATTGTTCTTACACTTTAGTTTAAATCTGATAATTGCCAATAGATCATATTTCTTCCTCCAAAACAGAAGGACATTCTTAACACTAACAAAGAGTAAAAACAGTTCAATAGATACTTGTCTGAACCCTGACATACTAGATACCTCTGTAAAATTAGTAATATACTACATATTAGATACCTCTCATATACTACATATGGACCATACTAATACCTCTCTGAATATACTAAATATTTCTCAATTCAATTCAATTCAATTTATTACATTTATATGCCGCCCTTTNCGGAGTTAGCAATTCCTCATACTTCCATTGAAGTTTGAGACGCTGATGTGGGATTGACTTAATTAAGCCACATCTATTAACTCCCTACTCCTACATTACTCTAAGGGTTAGAGAACCAATGCTCCTAAAGATGCTTTAGTTTAGCAGCCTACCATAACCATTAAATAGATCTATTGACTTTTAAATACCATTTCGAGAGCAAATAGGAGACAAAAACATGTTACCAACCTCTTCACGTAGTGCTGTGTAGCTGAAGTTTCTAATATGTCTCCCAATCTTCTCTGTTTGGTAGTTCTTTCTATGTCCATGTCCTCTCTAAATTTATTTCTTTTTTTGGGCTTAAAAAATGCAATATATTGTCAAATGTATTAATTACGAATAAAGTATATTTTAGAAAATAACAATACCTGCGCAGTACTATGCCAGCAGATAACAAATGTCATCCTAGCGGTTGTTCTTTGTTTAGTACAATATATATTGTTAAAAAAATAAAAAGAAATTTAAGAATATTTTAATTTGGCTCTTTATTGTCATTCTAACGCTATAAACAATTTTTTTCTTCAATCGTGTCTGATTCTTGAAGACTGCCTGGACAAATCTTTGCAGTTTTCTTGGCAAGGTTTTGCAGAAGTGGTTTGTCATTGCCTTATTCCTACGGCTGAAAGTAAGTGACTGGCTTAATTAGATCCAGCTGGCTTTGTATTCAAGGCAAGACTCACAGTCTCACAGTTTCTAGTCTGCGCAGAAGCATCGTGCGTGAGGCACGAGCGAACCAGTAGCGCCGGGATTTGCAACCCACCTCTGGTTTGAAGTCTACATTTCCCATCATGGCTAATGTCAAACAAGAAAGTAACTGATGTCACAATAAGACTAAATTTGATTCAATATCATGTGCTATATTTCTTTTTTTTTCATTTCATTTATTGAATTTATAGGCCGCTCAATCCCGGAGGACTCCGGGCAGCTTACAGAAATGAGAAATATTGAGAAGGGGTTAAAACAATAAGACACAACAAGATTAAGAAGAGACACAACATGCACCCAGTCTAAGCGGGGCTGGACCTCAATAAATGAAATGAAATGTGATCAGTTTCACATTCGCGGTCATTGCAGCACCCCTGTAGCCTCATAATCAAAATTTGGACACTCAGCAACTGGCTCATACTTATGACGGTTGCAGTGTCCATGGGGTCACGTGATCATCTTTTGCCAACTTTTGACAGGGGAAAATCAATGGGGAAGCCACATTCACTGTGCGGCTAACATAACAACTGCAGAGATTCATTCAACAATTGTGGCAAGAAAGATCATAGGTAAAGATTCCCCTCGCACATGCGTGCTAGTCGTTCCCGACTCTAGGGGGCAGTGCTCATTTCCGTTTCAAACCCGAGGAGCCAGCGCTGTCCGAAGACGTCTCCGTGGTCCTGTGGCCAGCATGACTATACGCCGAAGGCGCACGGAACG